TATATATATATATATATATAATTTAGTACATGCCCTATAGACCTAAGAATCGTATGCTTCAGTATCTACCCTCAATACACACATACACAAGTTTACAAAGTAGCTCACACAAAGATGTTCGCTATAGCACTACTTCTAATAACCCAGTAGCTATCGGTGTAATAAATTATGGTTTATCCATATTAAATCAATCATGTTTCTCCATATTATAGAATATTCGGTAAAAAAAAAAAATAATAATTATTATGTACCATGGAAAGATTCTAAGACACATTACAGAATGAAAAAATCAAGTTGTAGAAATTTATGTACAATGCAATGAAATTTTTTAAAAAACATAAAACAGCATCATACATTTTCTTTTTTTGGGGCGGGGGGGAGCTGCCAGTATGGGGATCCAAACCTCTGACTTTCGTGTTATAATACCATGCTCTAACCAACTGAGCTAACCAGCTAGCCCTAACACCAAACATTCTCTAAGGGTACGTACATATGTGTGTACACAAATACCTAGGAAAAGGCCTGGTATGATTCATGCTACACTGATAATTGTTGTTAACTCTGGGAAAGGAGAAAGGTTGAAATCTGTGGTCCAAAACAAACTTTAGCCTTATCAGGATTGCGCAATTTTTTTTTTGTCTTTTTGTCTTTTTTCGTGACCGGCAACGGATCGCAACCCTCAGTGTCGCGCCCGTACCGGACCGGGACCGGCAACGGGATCGCAACCCTCAGCGCTGCCCCCGCTCCTCGCTCAGCCAGTGAGCGGGAACCGGTCCATATGTGGGATCCGAACCCTTGGCGGGAGCGCCGCCACACTTCCCAAGCGGCGCACTGTAGCAGTGCGCCACCAGGACGGCCCTGAAGGCCAGACTTTTTAAGAGCGGATTAAGTGCAGAGCAAAAGTCACTGCAAAGGAGGCTGCATAGNCCATTCTTGCTTTCTTTTTTTTTTTTTTCTTTTGTCTTTTTGTCTTTTTTCGTGACCGGCAACGGATCGCAACCCTCAGTGTCGCGCCCGTACCGGACCGGGACCGGCAACGGGATCGCAACCCTCAGCGCTGCCCCCGCTCCTCGCTCAGCCAGTGAGCGGGAACCGGTCCATATGTGGGATCCGACCCCTTGGCGGGAGCGCCGCCACACTTCCCAAGCGGCGCACTGTAGCAGTGCGCCACCAGGACGGCCCAGGATTGTGCAATTTTTTACTAAATGTTTTAAAGTACCTTATCTCATTTAACATTTTTGTGAAATATGCAACTATATCAATAAGAAAAAATAATTTTAAAATATCTGTATATTCACCACCTAGCTTTATGCTTAATTCCTTAAAAGATCTCAGGCAAATAAAGCATTACGAATAAAACTGGGGCCCACGTAACCTCTCCACATTCCTTCTTTCCATTCCTTCTCCAAAGTAATTCTGTCAAGAATTCAATGTCCATTACTTCTAATCATGTTTTTATACGCTATATATTACTTTTATTTAAAACAAATAAACCCTCCATTCTTGCTTTCTTTTTTTTTTTTTTCTTTTGTCTTTGTCTTTTTGTCTTTTTTCGTGACCGGCAACGGATCGCAACCCTCAGTGTTGCGCCCGCTCCTTGCTCAGCCAGTGAGCCGCCGGTCTGCACGTGGGATCCGAACCCTCGGCAGGAGCGCCGCCGCGCTTCCCAAGCGGCGCACTGTAGCAGTGCGCCACCGGGCCGGCCCCATTCTTGCTTTCTTATACATAAATTTTTTTTAAAGATTTAAAATACATGTAAATACTTACAGCTAAAAAATTTCTTAGTTTTGTCATTTCATTCTGAAGAATAAGAGATGGTAGCCTATGTAGGTTTGGCCAGACTAAATCAGGTGAGTATTTCCTTGACAGCCCAGATTCATGAAGAGATAGCATCAAGAATTATGAACCCTGCAAGTCCCTATTAGTGACCAGCGGCGCAACAGTGAACAGAGGCCCAAATGCAGGATGGGAAACAAGGGTTTATTTAGGCCAGGGGGCTTTCTCAGTTCTTCAGGCTAACAACTATTTCTTTGGAAAAAAACAGCCCATGGGAAGTAAAGAGATGGTTCTATAGAAGGTAACAAAGAACAGGGAGAATTCCTAGCGATGGTAGAGAAAACAGACTAGGGATCAGGAAGAAAACATGAGATACAAGACTTGTTGATCTGATAAAAAAGGATTTAATTTGGGGCCGGCCCGGTGGCGCACTGTGCTAGTGCGCCGCTTGGGAAGTGCGGTTGTGCTCCCGCTGAGGGTTCAGATCCCACATACAGACCGGTTCCCGCTCACTGGCTGAGCGAGGCGTGGGGGCAACACCGAGGGTTGCGATCCCATTGCCGGTCCCGGTCCGGTACGGGGGCGACACTGAGGGTTGCGATCCGTTGCCGGACACAGAAAAAAGACAAAAAAAAAAAAAAAAAAAAAAAAAAAAAATTAAAAAAAAAAAAAAGGATTTAATTTTAAATAAGAAAAAGAGAGAAAACAGAGACCAAAAAAATGACAAAATAAAGAGTATCACAGCATTTTTCTAACAAAACATTAAAACAACAAAGAAACCTACAGGTGAGAAAATACCTTAAAAACAAAAGGGAAAGAATGTAAGGAACAAAACTTCTGGCCTCAGGTGTCCATTTTAATTTAGAGAGAATGGTACACAATCAAGAATTGGGCAATGGACGATTCTGTTCAAAAGAAGCAGATAAAGATACAAAAAAAAAAAAAAAAAGACATACAATTCTTTTGCATCTCTGCACTGATAATTCCCTGCAGAGATAAACTAGTCTCAATTAGCTAGAAAATAAGAAAGGTTCATTCTTAAAAAAGAACCAACTGACAGTGGTAAGATCCATTAGAAATAGAAGCTTTGTTAAACTCAAGATTTGATGGGGGCCGGCCCGGTGGCGCACTGCTACAGTGCGCCGCTTGGGAGCACGGAGGCGCTCCCGCCAAGGGTTCGGATCCCACATACAGACCGGTTCCCGCTCACTGGCTGAGCGAGGTGTGGGTGCGACACTGAGGGTTGCGATCCATTGCCAGACACGAAAAAAGACAAAAAGGAAAAAAAAAAAAAAAAAGATTTGATGGAAGACTGCCAAAGGAGAATGTCCAATACTTCCTCACCTTGCTGACAATGTTACTGCTCAAAATAAAACAAAGAAGGCCCCTAGAGCTACGCCCAACCCAATGAGAAAGGGCTAATTGCTGAGGTGGCAGTGAACAGATGCACTGGAGAATGAAAACCAGACATTTACTGAGTGGTGACTACGAACCAGGTGCTGAGGGTATCATCTTGAATTTTCTAGTACAGAAAAAAGACAATGAGTGACAGGCAGTGGAACATAAAACTCAAGTTTTTAGATAAGCAGATTTCAAAAATTCCAGAGACAAAGGAGCCAATCCCAAGGCCACAGATTACAGTGATCAAAAAAGTTGGAAGACAGAAAAATACAGGAACTCAAAGCATGAGTGGTGATCCCAAGGAAAGAGAAGGG